GAGCCTCGTCTTTGCCCGGTATCTGCTAGCTTCACTGGAACACCAAACATTTTGCCCCAAACACAAAGAGAAGCGGAGGCTGACGGGGACGTCGTTAGCTTTTTTGCAGGTCGAGAACTAAAGTATGAAACAAATTAAATATTTGATCAAAAGGATCATCAAAGTTATTACAATTCACCGTGAGAAACGTGCCAATACAACGTCCAATAGTTGTCTCGAGGAACCAGCAAATGTCAACCTCATAGTCAGAGGGATTCATCCTCTGGGGATCATGAACGTGCGTGTAATTATATTTATGGTAAGCCGTCAAGAACCCTCAGGAAATGTGCTTTTAATGAACAGATCGGATTTAAAATCAAGTCATGCAGAGCTTGGGAAAAACAAAGAGCCTTTGAGCTGATTAAAGGGTCTTTCCATCCGTTTTACAAATTAAGGTCGGTACGACTCCTCCTCCCGAGTGAGCTTTCTGACATATAACCCCGATGATGTAATAGTGACATCATCAGGGTTATCTGCACTCAGGCTTGCAGGATTTTTTTTGCGAAAAAATTGCACTTACGAACTGGAGGTGAGGAGGTTGGAAGATTAGCCAGGCAGGGACGGTCTGATAGAAAATATGTTGCATGATGGGAAATGTAGGATCCAGTGTTTGTGGCCTTAAAATCGTGGACAACTCAGACTTCAAAGCTTTGAGTGTCGCTTCATGATCTCAGTGTTGTTGCGACAGCAGTACACCTACTGTACACACACACACACACACACACACACACACACACTTTCACCCCTTATAGCCTCCCCTCCCCCCATAAAAATATAAATAAATGCAAACCCCTGCAGGCGGTGACCCAGGGTAAGTCATGCTATGATGTGGCGTACATGCAGCCAGCCATCCAAGAAAAAGAAGGCGAGCATGGGGCTCTGCAGCAAAACACGAGCATATGGCGGAAACATCACCGTATGTCTCGGTTTGTGAGGAGTAAACAAGCGTCGCTCACCCTCATGAAAGCAGCCAGAGTGTAAATAAGTGAGGTGGTGGTGGCCCAGAGGTAAGGGGGGGGGGGGCTACATAGCACCGAGGTGCCCTTTAGCAACACAGTTCACTCCTGGTAGCTGTGAAGGAGCTGTGAAGGAGCCGCTCAGTGGACGACACAGGAAGCTGCAATGTGTTCTGGGAAAAAACAAAACTCCGAAGGTGTGAATGTGTGAGTGAGTGATGAAGATTAACATTTCCCTCAAGATGGTCCCTGATGTTTTAATTCTTGTATTATTATTATTATTATTATTATATAATACTACTAATACTAATTTAATTATATGTATTTGTATTGTTCATAAGCAGTGTGACATTTAATACATGGTTTAAAACACCGTAATGTAGTTGTAAACAGATAGGACATTTAAAATATATTACATATAACAATTATAAAAACATATTATATATTATTTCTTTCGTGTTTAACTATCTTTTTATTAATTATCTGGTCATACAGCTGTTTCCTTTCATAGGTGTTGACATTGATAAACACTTACATTATATTATAGTGTGTCGTAAATCCATTGTTAAATATCAATATGCTGCTTATATTGTTACATTGGCGTGTTAAAGTGTGAGTATTATTATTTATTCTGTCGTATCTGAAGTATTTCATTATGTTTCTTGTGTCTTGTGTTTAATTGAGTGTATTTTCTATGTTCCACTTGACTTATTAATAATAAATAACTAAAAGGTGAAATTCAAAGCAGGTGTCAAACTGTTAATGTGACTTTGAAACTCTCCATTTAGCGCTTTAAATACAACCATAGAATACATCTATAGAAACGAGTGCACGAACTATCGGAAGTAAAAGCATTCAGTGTGCAAAATGTGCTTTTAATGAGTGCATTAATAATTCATCACATACTTTTGAAGTACTTTTACTGTATATGTAAATATTGTAGCAGGTGCAAGTAGAGCTCATTTGAACAGCTTCATGTAGTGCTCCGTGGGTAAATATTTAATGACATTATGTTTTAATCTGTGTTATAACTACATCCATCCAACAAAGGCAACAAACTAAAGAGTAAAATATAAAAAAAAGAATACAACTTAAATTGTATAAAAGTATAAATTTGCACACAAATAAATCTCTAAATTGTATAATATTTAAATGAATGTAGATTAAATGTATAAAGTGCTGACATAAGGCCAATGAGCTCCCGCTAATGTGTTTCTCTGAGAACAAGCGGCACACGTACCCACTGAAGCCTCATTAAAGCTTTATTGTTCCATACGGCTCATAATGCAGCCGCGCTTACAGCATGAAGAGGTGCCGGGAAACGCTCTCTTCCTGTTTAACGGTGAGGTGACACGTGCAGCAGTAATGTGCTGCTGCTGCAGAGTTAACGTTCATTCTCCAATGCAGGAGAGTCAGAGTCAGAGGAGAGTTCTCCTCTGATGGAGGTCCAGTATGAGGAGTGTTGCTACGGGAATAATTGATTTAGTAAGAGTTTTCTCCCCAAAGACGGGGATTCCTTCAGGAAAATGGCTAAAATTCAAGTAAGATTTAGTACATAATGATGGTTATGTATTGGACAGTAGTGGAAAGTAACATTATTACTTTATTTTTATATTATACTCCAGTACATTCCTTCAGTTTGCTGGACTAAATTAAAAAAATAAAACACCTGCAAACACACATTTTTCACATAATGGGTACTTTTACTTTTGATACTTAAAGTACATGTTGCTGATAATACTCCAGTACTTAAGTAGGATTTCAAAAGCAATGAAGTATTCTTATAGTGAGGTATCACTATTTTTACTTCTTTATAAAGTTTTACAGGTTTTACCATTTGGCGGCTAATGACTGATAAATGATGATGCCGCTGTTAATCACTCGGGAATTATTTTTAAAAAGCTTCAAGCTTTACTGACGTATTTTATATCGTAGAACAAAACGTTTAAATATGAAAAAAGCTTTTGTTGACAACGTAGACCGTATATAAGAAGTGACTACCGGTTTGAAGCCTTGAGTTAGGAGTTTTGGCCGTCGCCATCTTGTTTTTTTGCAACCAGTGAACAGGAAGTGACCATATATGGACTGAGGAGTGATGTAGAGAAGCCGTATAAGTCTCTGGTAGAGACCTGTCAATCACTGTGTAGCCCCGCCCTAAAGCATCCCCTGCTTTATGGTCTGTGTGACTCTAAATGGACCATAATGTACTAAATGAACATCATGCTGTAGTGAAGAAGACTTGAAACTAGAGATTGAGACCATAAACTCATGTTTACAATGTTTACTGAGGTAATAAATCAAGAGAGAAGTAGAGTCATTCTCTCATAGACTTCTATACAACCAGAGGAGTCGCCCCCTGGTGGACACTAGAGAGAATGCAGCTTTAACACATTAACAACGGACCTCATTTCATGCACCCAACCAAAAAAAAAAAAAAAACACCTTTACTTTGAAAAGAGGAAATTCAAAGTGTAAAAATGTTAACGGGCAAAGCGTTTGACGTATTGATTGCTGTCGGAGTGTAATTAGTAATTTAAACAATAAGTAAAAATGTTTTGAAGATTAAAGAGAAAGTATCTGAAACGGATCACAAACCATCACACGAGTGCAGTTTTCTGAAAAGTACTTCTTTTATTAATATTTTACAATCCTTTATTCATGGTTATGTCATTATTTACTTTTTCAGCGCCACTTTGCAAGTGTCATTATTCCATGCTGTCTGACGACAACAACAACAACAAAAAACCCAAAAGGAGAGGTTTGAAGAATGAGAGTCTATACAACACGTTTGTCAAGGGGCAGAGAGAGATTCACATCCTCTCGGTTTGACCTCTCATCCCGTCCGCTTGTCAAAAAAACTAAAAGTAAACAAAAACGTTAAAAGCAGTCGAGTGAATAAGTGTAGAGTTGTCCGTCCGTCCGTCCGTCCGTCCGTCTGGCTATAAAAAAAACACCCCACACTCCTCTTGAGAAGTTTCTGCTCTTTAGACAAAGAACAGGGGCCCTCCCCCCCGCCCCCCCCCTCCCCCATCTCTGACAAAATTATTCTACTACAATGAATCCAACGAACACAAAAAGACAAAGATGGCATCTCTCTTCCAGGAGCGGCTCCAAACATTGGAGGATAATATTGGCATTTCTAAAAAAACAAAAAAAACAACAACCGGTGAAACTGGTTTAAAGGGAGCGAGAATCTCAAAAACGATCGATACAAATTTGAATTTTTTTTTATAATTTTGGTTGCGAATCTGTCGGGAGAGATTATCTAAAGTCGTCGTTGTGCTGTGGCGACGGGGAGCTGCTGGCGGATACATTTCCTCATAAAAAATGATCTATCAAATACTTCCTGAGAAATAAAGGAAATATCTACCTGGCATGAAGAGAGGAGGAGGAAGAGGAGGAAGAGGAGAGAGAGAGAAACAGAAAAGAGGAGGAAGGGAGTGAAAAATCAAAAAATGTTTGGGTGATTCAAAATAAAAAAAAGACAAAATAAGGAAAACAATAAGCTGCTGTGTGTTTCGGCAGCGGAGGTCAGGAAGTGGAATGACTTGTTGGTTTGTGAGAGCTGAGAGTGTGTGTGTGTGTGTGTGTGTGTGTGTTTATCGTGAGTCCAGGTCGAAAAGCCTTCAGTGTGTGAAACGTGAAGCGGAGAGCTGGAGGACAGAGGAGGTGTGGGCAGCAGTGCTGGTGTTTGTGCTCTTCAGCACAGAGAGAGGAGGAGGTGAGGGAGGGAGGGAGGGAGGCTGGTGGGAGGCTGGTGGGAGACTAACAAACTGTCCATCCAGCTGCTGGTAGCATCCAACACCCACGATCGCTGCTGGAGCTGTTTGTGTTTCCTAACCAGTCCGATCTCATCAAGCAGATAAATCCTGATTCATTTCGTCCTGATCTGTTCGCCAACGCTTCTGTTATTTACCTTCCTTCCGAGAATTAGACGAGAAGATCGATACGCCAACAAAAACTTACAAAAAAACGATTATTTGTGTCTTTACTGGGAGTTATGTGAGGGTCAACTTCACAAGAAATAGTCCCTTTGAACCTCAAGAACTTGTCTTTTAACACTGGATTAAACGATGTGGAACGTGTTAATAAGTGAAGATAATTCTGTGGCCCTTGGACAGAGCCAGGCTAGCTGGTTGGTAGGTGGCACCTCTGCGGTGCCACCTACCAACGACGGTTACCCACATTCGGCTGGCGGCGGCGTTCGTTTTTCCCACCTTGGTGAACAGACGGATGTGTCGGTGTTACGCCGGTCGGGTATACCGGTTCTGTGTCGAGGCGACGGAGCTCAACGAGCTAGGAGCACCAGGAGAACCGGAGAACACCACCGAAAAACAAGGGGTGTCAGAGCGAGAGGTCGCTCCTTTGGTTCGATTAGAGCGGAAACGACCCGTAGCTGAAGTCGTAGCCGATGGCTTTGGGGGGAACGAATGTTTAATGATGTGGAGGTTTATGGAAGTTCAGCTCTTTTCTCGTTCTGTATTTTCAGTTTAAATTACATTTCACGATAATATTTGTGTAGCGTTTGTACTTTTCCGGCAGCGAGCTATTTTTTTTACCCCCGAAGTAACGAGGAGCTTTAGTGAAATGACGTTACAGAGTGAGTGAGTCCTAATAATTAAGTTCATATCGGCACATTCTCTATCGTCTGTCCCACCACTGAAAACAATGATATAACGCATAAAAATGTCCAGATATGCATTAGAGGAGGTTTTGCCTCTTCAATAGCACTCTGCTGCCGGTGTATTTACCTAAGCGTACCTAATAATCTGAGCGTATGTCCAAAGCCTTCTGGTTTGTATAATACAGAGAATGAACCAGGCAGAGCCTCCACGTTACCGGTTCTTACAGGTTACGGGTCGCTGAGTTCTTGCGGCTGACCTCGAGTCAGTTCACATCCCGTCTGACGCTGGATTTACCAAAATAAAGCCACATTCTACACTCGAGTCCAGACATGGAGCACCGACACAGCACAGACTTAGTGTGTGTGTGTGTGTACTGTGATTAACCAACTCTCTTTGGTTCTTAAGAGGCTAAATAAACGATTTTTAAAGCCAACATACGAAGAGAACACCGAGGGGGAAAGGCTCACGATAGTCTGATTATAAGGTGTGTGTGTGTGTTTTTTCTGCCAAACCAAACCAGAGTCTTGATATAAAGAAAGTTCCAGTTCAGGAAAAGATGGGGAAAAAAAGGCCTGATTATGGAGAGGAGGGAGAAAGAGGAAGGAGGATGAAGGATGACAGGAGCAATCACTGCCGGGGTGAGGGTGACGAGGGAGGGTTGAAGGGTCACCCGCTCACCCCCTCCACCAACGAGGCGAGGTCGAAGCCAGGAATGTCAGCAGCCGTCTTCTTCCGTTTGCCCCCCCCCCTCACTTCCTCAGCTGTCCGTTCATCCGGCCGCAGGTCACTGGAGGTCTCGGTCTTCTAGGTACCGGTACTCAAACGTGAAGCCTTCCTTCTTCCGCTGGCCCCATTTCTCATAGTCGAAGTAAATGTACGTTCCCTTGAGAACCAACAACAAACAAACATTCTTTAGAGACAAGAGGACGAGTGGGTTCTAGGGTCTGAAATGCAGAATCTGCCGCCACTTGTTTTTCATTTCACATGGAGTGAAAATGGACCCGATAACATGCAGCGATACATTTATACGTTGACGAAAGACTTCATTCAGATTCCTAAAATATATTTGTGGTTCATCACATCTTTCTCCCGTGAGGTGGAAGACGTGAGGCTGACCTGCTCAAACTCATCCGTGATGGTCTTGGGTTCTTCGTGCCTCTGAAACCACATCATGTACTTGGTGTGGAACCTCCAGGACTGCTTCTTCAGGGCTTTGGCTGCCAGATACTGGGCCTTAGTGCCCTGCAGGGAAGAGGAAGAGGAAGAGTTTCATTGGTGGGACACACATGCAGGAGATAGGGTTTTGGTTCTGGTGCATGATCTAACTGTGATCTACAGATTCAGACAATAAACCCGCTGCATACCTCCAGGTAGTAAAAGATGAAGAAGAGGGTTTCTGTGGAAAGCCTCTGGTAGAACTCTACAGTGTCGGAGTGAGGCGGTGGCACCTGGTTGTGGAAAGGCAGGGTGGGGCAGGGGTTCCTCATCAGGTACTGCCTGTAATGTCCACACAGGGGGGGTTAAAGGGACCAGAATCTCCACTAACAGTGAAAACAAACGACTGATGAGGATATAGATGAACGGGTACAAGCAGTGATCGTCAGAATAAAGCTTCATTCCGTATCTCTCTAATGAGTTCCATGTTCAACAGTAAAAGAGGATTTTCAATCCACGCATTCTTCTTCACGGTCAAAATGTGGCGCCTACATTTCCCACAATGCAACTCAACTGACAACAGTTTGGCTGATGTAGCAGAGTGGGCTACAACCTGGTAAACTCCCCCACAGATTTGTTTTTAAGGCTTTTATTTTGACTGATGTTGAAATTACGATTTGCTGTATTACAGGAAATTATAATTTTTGCATTATTTTAATTTTCATTGAAAAACATTAAAAAGATTAGATTGTTGAATGGATTCATAACCAAACTTAAGTATTTATTTTATGATGCGTAGGTTGTGACGTCTCTGCTGCTCCACAATACTCGGTAACCAGAGATCAGGAGTGATCTTCCAGTTTTACGATGATATCTGTGAATCATGATTATGAAACAGACCATAGATAGATTTGAAACAAACCATCTATCAACCATAAACCGCTCATTTGCTGATCCAAAGCCACGCGCTCATTAATTATCGGTCGGGCGTATCGAATGTGTCTGATGAACGTTTTGGGACCAATTAACGAATCCATTAGTCGGACGCACGCGTTCAGCTCTCCGTTGGGAGCACACGTCGGATAATTCACTCAGTGGATTTTCAGCACTTTTCTTTCCTCTCGACGTTAGTCGGGTCAGAGCGTACCCGAGTTAATGACCGACCCACTAACCAGCAGGAAGAACTAACACACTCCTCATGTCGCAATATAAGTACTTACAATAAAAGAATATATACGCAACAGTGTGTGTGTGTTTTTAAAAGTACTACATACATAAAACATCCAGTGGAGTTCATGTCCACAGTATTCCTTGTGTTAAATAAGTGAGTTTAGAGCTGTGGCTCTTTGATTTAAGCTGGATGACAAAGAAAAAGCTGCAGAATCTGAACCAAGAAGTTCAAGAATCGGACATGAAAGTTCTCTCTACGATGTTTGTTTACAATTGTTTGATTTTATTATCCGTGTGTTGGAAAACGTGAACATCTCAGCGCACCTGATTCTCTCAGAGTCGGACGGGTGGGGCATGTGAGTCCACGCCGCCTCCTCCATGGCCTGTTGGTAGAGCTGGTCTTTGGACAGGGGGACCGGCCCCAGCGGGCAGACCCCCAATGACGGCGGGATGCTGACCTCCGACAGCGAGAGCTGAGGAGCCGACGGGGGGCCCGAGGAGACCACGACGCTGCTGGGAAAGATGTCTGAAGAGAGACGGGAGACGGAGACTTGAAGGAAGAAGACAAAGAGAGATGATGATGGTGGAGGAAGTAGAGGATGTAGGGGAGCGAGAGAGGAGGTGAAGGGGGGGGGGGGATTTGGAGTTAGAGAGACAAAGAGAGAAGTTGAGTCAGGGCTGATAATATCATCAGCAGTTTTTTGTTCAGAGGAGGCTGAGAGTGGGAGGTGAGATGACATTTTGTTCCATTAAACTACAGCCTTTCTATTTCTGCTCTGTGGCAACCCTCTACCTCCTTTTATTCAAGGTAGGTGTGTGTGTGTGTGTGTGTGTGAGAGTATGTGTGTGTGCGTGTGTGTGAGTATGTGTGTGTGTGAGTGTGCGTTACCTGGGGTGAGGTGCAGGGAGGGCACGTCACCCTCCATCCCTGAGCTGAGTGCTGCTCGCTCGGCCATGGACTTCAGGCTGCTCAGAGGCTCCTGTGGCTGATGAGGACCGACAAGGAGAATCATGGGAAACCAGATTCTACCGAACTCTGTGTGTGTGTGTGTGTGTGTGTGTGTGTGTGTGTGTGTGTGTACAGTTATCGTACCAGTGATAACGCTGTCATGCAAATCACTTTTTCTTTTTGGTTTGTTTGCTCCTGTCCCCTCCACTCAGAGATGCTCCTTCACGTCATTTAAACTACATTAAATCCATTACGTGCATCCCTGTTTACAAGTATTAAGACTTCTCTCTGTTCAACTCTAAACTGTGCATCCTGTTTGCTTTGATTATGCTGAACCTTTAGAGATCCCTGATCACGTTGATTTGCTACATATTGCTGATTAATGCTGATACAGATTGTGTTTTTGTTTGGTTTGATTATAGCAGCTGGTCTACAAGACTCCGAAAATCATTCAAACTACTCTAAATGTTTTCCTCTCTGTTATAGACATCTATAGTGTTGTCTCTTTATAGAATCACACTATTCAAATGATAAGGAAATAAAAGATTGTATTTTCATTGATTAAAACAAATCTTGTCATTAGTAGTTTTAATGATGTATTCTTAGTGTAAACAGTTAATCAACATGTACGTTATCACATGTCAACACATCGTGACAACGTAATAATTTACCTCATGTTCACTGAGCAGAGCCTGAAGGCATCACAATGTAACTGAAGTGAACCTTTATTCGTTAGCCGTTAGCGGTGCTGCTAACATTACTAGCTCTCCTCCTGTCATAATAAACACGGCTTTGGTTGTTTATAAAGTTGATGAACATTATCAGAGATCGGGGAACAGAAAGCATAAATCACGATCGCATATTTTTACTGATTATCGGGCGATATCGATCGTTAGGAAAACTTTATTTCACACTGTGACGGTTAAACAAACACACGATGGTCTGCTGAGCTTCATCAGTTCCATGTTGTTGTTGTTGTTTATTATTATTCTCTTTTGTCAGAACTAACCGTTGGCAGTGGATTTTGGCTGAACTACAAACCACAAGGAGACCATAATAATAATTACAATAACAGTAACAATCCCCGCTTGGATTTCACTGTATTAATTAAATCATAGTGGAAGCAAAAAAACAACTGCTTTGAGTGCGTTTGTGTGCAAATTAACAGTCTGTGGAGATTTAGGATATTAATTTTTTTTTAAAGAAAACAAGCAGATTCTTAGGCGTAAGACTGTTAAACGGTCAGACTCTAGTCGGTCTTATTTAGATTTAGAAAACATCTGAAATGTCTTTCTCACCTTGATGCTGTCGGAGGACTGCGAGTAGGACAGCGGTCCGTTCAGCAGGCTGCCGCCGCTCACCGATTTGGCCTCGCTGTAGAAGGCCGCCGATGGGGAGCCGGACGACAAACAAATAGAGCCCAGTAAGCTGGGACCAGTGTCCTTACTGGGGAGACGGGGAGAGAATGATGGGAGAGGATGAACAAACATAAAGAGACACAAATACAAAGAAAACACCGTTTTGGTCACGATACTTGACTGGTAATCCGCCACATACTCACGGCTGACTGGCTTGGGAGGTCAAGGACAAGGATTGGCTGATTTGTGATTGGCTGGCACTGGTGAGGGCGGAGTCTATTGAGCTGTCTGCTAACACAGCGCTGTAACCTGTTAACAGGGAAGACACACAGAGGTTAATATCAAAGACGGTGTGTGGAGCGACAATCGTCCGGTCGGATACTCACTGGAGCTGCCGTTCTGCTTCTGCTGGCTGGACGGCCTGACGGAGAGAGACAGGCCTCCGCCCAGGACGCCGCTGCCTCCCGTTCCAGAGCCGCCCCCGTTGCTCCCGATGACTCCCACTCCGCTACCCGGCGGCAGACCTCCTACTGGGCTCAGCGACATCAGGGAAGAGCCCTGCATCCCCGACTGACCGGAGCTCAGACCCAGCATCACAGAGCCGACACTGGTCAGCCCCGGTGCCGGGCCCAGCAGACCTCCGGTCAAGGACGTCGGCCCGCCGACTGTGATGCTCCCGCTGCCGATGGAGCCCGCCGAGCTGTTGGTCGTCGTGGGGTTGATGCCGACGCCGCCAAGAGAGCCCGGCAGGCCGGAGCCGATCGCTCCTGAGGCGGCCGCCTGAGCGTAAGGTGCCGGGGAGGAGCCGGACAGGAGGCTCGCCATGTTGCTCATCCCCGACAGGCCGAGGCTCCCGGACATCGGGCTGGAGGTCATGGACCCGGACATCATGCCGCCTTTCCCCAACGAGAGCCCCAGGCTGAGGCCCAGGCTGTTGGAGGTCGGCGTGGACCCGGACAGAGCCTGAGTCTGGGACATGGAGGTGAAGAGCCCCTGCGTGATGGCGTTGGGGGGAGAAGAGGAGGCCAGGTGGCTGTTGGAGGAGGCCATGGGGATGGAGATGGGAGCCGAGGAGGAGGCGCTGACTAAGTTTTTGGCCTGTTGCTGCTGTTGCTGCTGCTGGTGCTGAGCCGACGGGTGCGGCGGCTGCTGGGTGGCGTTGCTGTAGCTGCCGGCGGACGTGTTGGAGAGGAGACCCCCCAGGCTGCCCAGGTGACTGCTGCACCCGGAGCCGCCGAGCCCTCCTCCTCCTCCTCCGGCGATGGTCGCGGAGCCGAGCGAGGATGAGGTCAGTCCAGAGACGGAGGAGGAGGAGCAAGAGGAGGAGGAGGAGGAGGAGGAAGAGGAGGAGGAAGATGAGGATAACGAGGAAGAGGGGTTCCCGTTCTTCACAGGTGACTGGAAAAGAAGTATTAAGGTACAAAGTGCCGGCCGTGTTATTATGTAATCATTACAAATGTACAGTATGTTCGACTCAGGCTAAAAGTTTTACTGGTGTATATGCATGCATACATACATACATACATACATACATACGGTATACAAAATAACTTCACAACTAATAACAATAAGAAGAATTTGAGTATATTATAGCACATTAGTATATTAGGACCCTTTAATTATGTATATATCTATCAATACATTTTCATTAAATGATTATTTGCTCTATGAAATGACATATAATATTTAATAATAAAGTTATAAATGTGAATCACACGTCTCCCCGACGCCGAGGTGACGACTTTAAATCACTTATCTGGTCCCAACGACCGTCTAAACCCCCAAAAAATATAGAATTTATATGAATTTGAAACTGAGAAAAAGCAACAAAATCTCAATTTAGAAGCTTGAACCAGCAAATGATTGCCTGTTTTTATTGCTGACTAAATTCAATTCAATTCATTTTTGTATAGCCCAAAATCACAAATTACAAATTTGCCTCAGAGGGCTTTATAATATGTACACATTTGACATCCTCTTGTCCCGGAACCCTCACATCGGAACAGGAAAAACTCCCCCAAAAAACCCCTTTAACGGAGAGAAAAGAGGAAGAGACCTGTGGGAGAGCAATAGAGGAGGGATCCCTCTCCCAGGATGGACAGAAGAGCAATATGTTAAATATGCAAAAAGTTAAATGAAAGGACTATCAGAGTTGTCTAATTACATAACTCCTCGTCATGATTATGTTCATGGTTTTCATGAAGACGTCTGTGTTTCTGAGACGCAGACTGATGTTGAGACTCACCTGACCGACTTCACTGTCCGTTGAACGTCCTCTCTTCTTGTCATCTTCTGAGTTCTCCTGAAAAAACACAAATTAACATTAAGCCACAAAAAAAACCCCAAAAAGCAAAGTTCACGGTCAGTGGGTGTAAAAACAAGAAATAAAGAAAACTTAAAGAAGCCAAATTCACACAGATTTCCATTTTTTTTCTAAAGCGCTCGTGACCAGAAGGTTGTGGGTTCAAATCCCCGGAATAAAACTCTCTGTGGTTCATTAAAAAAGTTAAATGAACTCTACATCCCATCCTTTACATTCCCTTTTAATGCTAACCTTCTGCCAGCAGCATTTAACAAAACCACGCCTTCCACACACACCCCCACACACACACACACACACACACACACACACACACACACACACACACACACACACACTAGCTGCTCTCACTGCAGGCGGAGGACATAATGACAGTAGAGCAGACAATGAGAGCAGATGACGGGGCACGACAATGGCAATTATCTCACGCTTATATTTCAGATATTGAACGCAACAACTTGTAATTCTTTAAAGGATTTCTACTTTTCAGTGAAGAGAGAAAAGAGAAGTTGTCAATATGTGGAAAGGTTTCAGCCTGATGATCAGTTTACTACTATTTGATGTTAATGTGATCGCATGAAAACCTCAACACTTTGTGCAAGAATGTCAGCGTGACATGCCGACAGACAATAGTTTGGGGGTAAATGTTCTCGTATTGTTTTCATACCGTAGTGCAAGTGGCCGGCGACGGCGGGATGGGTGAAGACGAGGTGGTGGAGTTTGGTGTGCTGCTCGAGTTCTGGAAGATCTCGTCCTCCAATTGCGAGTTCCCCGGCGGGGAGGTGGCGACCAGCGTCTGAGCTGAAGGTTCATCAGAGACACAGAAGAGTTCAGTGAGGGTCACAACACGGTCGCTGTTTTGGATCATCACGCCGTGGTGCGGATGACAGCGTCTGCAGTTATTTAACTCTTGAAATGTGTTTTTTCTTCAACAGAAGCCGAATCTTCTTCGCTCTACCTGCACATCTGTTGTTAATAAATGTTTCTTTCTCTTGTGGCTGAACCTGAGCTTTGCTCCTAAATTGACACAGTTTATATTTCTACTGTGTGCAAACAAACGAAGCAAACTAAACTTACGGATGTCATCCAGGTCCAGGTCGTCGTACAGAAACTCGTTCTCCTCAAAGTCCGGATCCTGCGACGAGTCTAGATAATACTCCACGTCATCCTTTAGAAAAGACAGACCGAATGTCAGATATTGTATAAGATGAGCTGCGTCTACGAGCAAGAAGTCTTCTGAAGACACGAGCCTACCTTGATCTTCCTGATGGAGTCAACCTGGATCGAGTCGTTGTCCAGCATCCTCAGTATGGTCTCCAGCATCCGGATGTGGTGCCGATGCTTCTCAATGAACTTCTTCAGCTCCTCAATCCGGTCCTGTAAAGAGGGGGCAAGGTGGGGGGTGTGGATACAGGGGTGGGGGGGGGGGGGGGGGGGGGGGGGG